ATTTATAATTTAATTTTTATACTTTATAACATCATTTAGTTTAACACTCAAACACATTGTACATCTGGAAAGAAATATTTCCTTTGTATCCTAATGCTATGTTTCTCTATTTTAAATAATTTTAATGTATTTACTTTTTGTTAAAAACTAAGAAATAAACATACACTGGCCTAAGCTTACACAGGATTAGGATTATCAATGTCTGTCTTCTACCTCATCTTGTCCCACAGGAAGGGCTTTAGAATTGAAAACATTCCTGGAGCTATCATATCCTATGACAGTGGGGGCTTCTTCTAGTATACCTCTGGAGGATATGCCTGAGGCTGTTTTACAGTTAAATTTTTTTTAAATAAGGAGGAATATATTCTGAAATAATGATGAAATGTAGCATTATAAATAGTACATAGGGGCTGGGGAGGTAGCCCAGTGTAATAAGTGCTAGCCTGGCAAGTGCAAGGTCCTAAGTTCAATCCCTGGTACCACCAAAAAAAACCCCTATATGATAATTTATCATTATCAACTATTATATACCACACATAATTGTATATGCTCTACTTTTATATGACAGGCAGTTAAGGAGGTTTATTTATGCCATTACCAACATAAAGACATAAATAATCTACTGCACTATGATTTTACAATCAATATAATGTCACTGGGTACACAGGAATTTTTCAGTTTTTTAATAATCTTACAGGACCTGTGTTGTGCATGAAGTCTATCAATGAAATGTCATATGGCACATGACTGTTACCTTTAAGGCTAGTGCTTCCTATGTGGCAAATTATATGGATCCCAATCGAATACATTTGTCTTTACCTTATCTGGTCTTAAGCACCGAAGAATTATTATTTTCTGCAGTTCATTTAGCTTCTTATTCATTGGTGCTGGAAATTTTGCATTGTGTGGGTCTTTACTGTCATAGATTTCCCGCCATTCAAGTATAGAATCACAGAAATGTTTCCTGATAGAAGAAAGATTAATAATTATTGTTTTTATTGATAAATATTGTAAGACATTGTTGAGCAAGTAGAAGAAACAAGACAGCTATAGGACTATTTAAAAAATC